GAACCCTAAAGAATAATGTTGGTAATTATTTTGCCTTCTATTTTATGGTTGGGAATCAAGGGCACACTGATTGATCAATCCTTGATAGAAAAGCAGCGACCATTGAAGGATCTTGAAGGGACACCATGTCTATCAAAGCAAGTGGTGCTACCTTGCTGGCAAAGGTTCGCGGGACGGTTGAACTTGTTCATGACATTGTCCCAAGAAACGCCATCCGCCAGGTCCTCGACGGCCACGGCTGCTCGACCTCTTCGGCGATTGAGAATTGGTCCGGTTTCGGGATCCAGCTTTTATGTTGATGCCACGTGCCCCACAACTGAAGCTTGCCAACCACAGCCTCGAAACATTAGCCCAACAAGGCCCTAAATTCTAGACTCTGTAGTTCCTAAGACCAAACACCGTATCTCTCCAACCCTGAATCCTCCTAACCCCCAACCCGATGCCTCCAAACCTCAAACACGAAGCCCAACAGCCATATGCCTATGCCGTTAAAACTTTAATCTTCCTAAACCCGGCGATGCGCCCAGCCTAGGGCTTCCTTCGACAGGTCCACCTCCTCGTGCCGAAACTTGCCTCCACACAGAAAACGTCTTCAGGATTTCGAGGAGGATATGTTGTTTAGGGTACCGGGCGTCTTCTATAAGACCCCTCGACAGCGATATGTTCATAACCCATGAGAGTACGCCTATGCATACTACGGAGTAGACCACAACGAAATGACAAGTACGTTCTATGGAAGACCCAGTTTGCAGCCCGGAAGCCAAGCACGTGTCCAACGATCGCTTCGCGACCACCAGTCTTCGGGCGCGACACACCCAGCCGGAATCGAAGGAACTTCCTGGACTTCCGTGGTTAATATCGGGGCCTTCATAATTACCTATTATACTATTTTGGGAGGTTCTGATTATAAGTATAGTATAATCGACGTCTAAACCCTATTCTACTTAAGGCCCCGACCTTAGTGTTAGGATGCTGTAAAAAGTTTCGGTTTATTCAGGCCTCGAGGTTTGGATTTCTACGACTTTATATGTTAGGGTGCCGGGCTTGTCACTCTAAGGTTTAAGCATCAAAGCGTTTGGAGAACCTCGTGGAGTTTTTCGGCTTTGCGGCCTAGGGGTTGCGGCATGCAAGTTTAAAGTTGCAGGGTTCGGTTGCGGTGCATGGTTGTGCGTAAGTGGTTCGTCATGCTCAAGACACGCTCGAACCAATAATTGAGGTACAAACTCACATCCGCTTACAACCCTAGGCCCATCATGCTGTTCTCCCTAAGCATCCTAAAGTGGTCAAAAGCCCGAAACCATAAACACTAAACCCCTGCTTTGCATCAGGAATGAACCGTAAATCCTTGCAGCCTCTAAGCCGCAACAGCCGGAACCGAGCTCTACCCGGAAACCCTAAACAGCAAACCCTACACCCTGCATTCAACCCCAAACCCTAAACCCTAAACCTCATGGATCGAGTTGCTGGAGGCCATGGTTTAGGATGGACTTCACGCCATTTTGGCCTGGTGCATCGGGTTTAAGGCTAGGGCTTAAGTATGGCTTGAAGCTGCCATGGTCCTGGCGCAGGAGAGGAGCATTTTGGGCTTTACCACTTTCAACCCGGAACTCCAGGTGAGGGTTGTGGAGAGAGCAAAAAGGCACTCCAGCTTTAGCGCTTGGGCTTGGTTTGAGAATCTAAACATGCATTAAGAGGCCTGTGTTCGTAGCACTTAAGGGCACGAACATCTTCGTCCTCATCAAGGGGGCATCATCGAAACCTGGCACACACGGCCTCCGGCAGAGCCGGACTTGCGCAGGCGTAGCCGGCCCACATCCAAGTCCATGTCATCGTACATCACCTCACTAGGGGCATGCAGTAGGGCTTTCAGGGTTCCTGCAGTATAATGGGCCTACAATTTTTCCTAAAGGCCTTATGGGAAACTAAAGGCCTCATAGTTGGGCTTAGGACCTAGGAATCCGGGACTTCGGGCTCAAAGCCCAAGCAAGGAGTTAGCGGACAGTAGGGCTTCGGGCCGGGATGGCGGGGGACTTAAACTGATCGGGGTTTAGGGTTGTTTTTTTAGGGGGGGGGGGGGGGGGGCAGGATTAATTCACCAAGACTCTGGGATTCCTTGAAATGCTCGGGGCCTGCAAAAATGTTCGAGGTTGGTGTGGGAATTATTGTTTGAGGGTTTGCTTTTCGAAGGGGGGTGGGGCAGAGGGGGAAATGTCACGGCTTAGGGATACAAAGCTTGAGCTTTGGGGCTAGGGTATAGCTGAGGGTGTTCCATTTCTGCAAACTAAACTGCCAAAGACGAACAGTGTTTTCAGGGCAGCATCGAAAGTCCGAGTCGAGAATATTGAAACACTCCCTGAAATACCGATCATCATAAATTCGAAGCATACCACAATAAAGCTTCCCTGCTTCTTAGAAAGTCGAGAAGGCTCCCTTGATTGGTTCTCATGACGACATAGCTTTGCTAGTACTTGTCAAACATGCTTCCCAAGAGGGCCAAACAAGCAAGGGTTTGGGGGGTATGTTCTAGCATCATTGTATGGGGACGAAGCGTGAATGTAGTCACCAAGTACTCAATCAGCCGAAATCACGTGCTAACCACTACAGCCCACAACGCTAAAACCCCAAACGCCGAACCTAACCTTAAACCCTGTAGAATAACCCTGAACCCTTTTTTGAACCTGTGCTGAGCCGAGGCTTACGACGGAAGTAACCCTGAACCCTAAGAAACCCTAAGGCCCTAAGCCACAAACCTTCAATCAGTCAAAGCCGTTCTTGCACCCCTACTGAGCCCGAGGCGTGTGACGGGAGAGAGCTTTCTCCGAACAGCCCCAAAAAAACGATGACACGAGCAATAACTTGCACTTGCTTTCATCTGCAAGAGCATCTGCAAGAGCAGTCTGCCCCCCTAAAACCTAAACCCTAAACCCTAAACCCTAAACCCTAAACCCTAGACCAGCCTGAAAGCTCAAAGCCCGAAACCCCGAGCTCGTGAGGGAGATTCCCGCTCGCTGCGGCGAGGCACGACCAGTGCGGATTCCGGCAACCCAAGGGACGACACCTCTCCGGTTCAATCATGGGAGCTTAGGGTTTAGGGTTTAGGGTTTAGGGTTTAGGGGGTTCAATCATGGGTTTTTGGTTTATGGGGCTTTGCTTCTTTATTGCGGGCTCTGTACTACAGGGTTCAGGGCTGGTTTAAGCCAGTGGGGGGCAGGGTTTCTGAGCACCGTATAATCCGTATACAGCTCACTAGTGCTCGCTGCTACGCTTTCATACGCTTTCGGGGTTTGGGATGGTTTTCGACACTCACAAAGGCTCTGGAATCCGCAGTGTGCTTGGGGCCCATGTTTTTCTGTGCTTAAAGGCTTCTAAAGCTCATGTGGGGTTTGCGGCTGAGCACTTCTGGAGTTGGGAGTTGCGGGCTGGTTGAAGGGAATCTAAGGCATCTAAGGTCGAGCTAAGAACTTAGGGCTTTGGGCTCGGGAACTGTTCTAGCATGCTTTCGTGGTCGAGCTTCTCATTGCAATTCTGGAGCTTTGAGGCGACTCCGCAAAGACTTTATAGGGCCAGGGGGCAGATCTTTCTGAAGCTCAGACAATAAATCCTGGACCCTAAACCTAGTTCATGGTTGGGGTAGTATTAAAAATTTGAATGTATATTCCTTATTGGGTTTAAGTACCTTTAAAAAGGTAAAATGTTACCCAACTATGACAAAGAAACGCCTTCAAGCCTTCACTGAGCCACACTTCGGCGTGCAGGCCCCTGTGCCTCACATCTTCGGAGGTCCCCGAAGCCCCCGACGGCTGGGCTCCCGGACCAGTTCCGACACCGGCCGGCCCGAGCCGTTCATCATGGAAGAGGGCTTAAACCTTGGCTGAGGAATGAGGGGTTCGAGGTGGGCGATTCTTGAAGGATTTCGATGCTAGAACGACATTGAATTTGTAGCCTGGGGCAATCAGAGGAGAGGTTACCAGTGCGAGCCAGGAAGGGAAACGTGCCTTGCACGGGTGAATCGCGGACTTCGATGGTGATGTTTATGATGCCCCCTAAGCCCAACCTCTGTCCTAAATCCCCAAGCAGATCAAGCAGTAATCCCCAAACCCTCCTTTTGCCGAATGGAATAGTAACGGAAAACGAACAACACCAACCTCCCGGTATTCTGAATCACTGCAGGAGCATGGGAATAAAGACTGCTGGCAAGTAAACTCTGCAGAAACTAAACTCGTGACTCGTAATGAAAGTCTGCTCTCGGCTGAACCCTCACACTGGTGCTCTATCCTTAACCCCAAGCAAGCCCTAAAAAATCAGAATCTCAAAACACCATATAAGTTGCAATAGGATTTCTTCGTAGGAGTCCGTCCTCAGAGGCAGGCATAGGGATCAATGTTAGGTGGCACAAGCTGTTGTTGTCACATGTGGTCATGCTGTTTCTGTTACTGCTCTGTCCTATCGCGTAATGTGGTGATGCTAGGTCATTGCTCGGATTTAGCCTGAGGGCCTCGGGGCTAGAGGTTTCTTGGGACGTGGTGTGTCGAGCTTCGGATATTGACTGGATGCAGCAGAGACGATGGGACCGGAATTGCAACTTCGGGAGGCTTTAGGATTTGATTTCGTGCGCTGCGGACGTCTAGAGATTGAGACATGGTGTTCACTGTCACTGTCTGACACCGTGCCGCAAAGCCAAGTCTTGCTTGCAATTCGTCATCCTTTCTCTTAGTCTTAGCTTTTGTGCCGAGAGCACCCGACCTTCCCCTCAGGCGACTAAACTTAACGGCCATATCTTTGTAAAGGCAGATATCGAGTGTCGCCCTGCAAGAAACTGCCAATTTAAGCCCGGCCCCCACCTCTTCGAATGTATCCCTCCACCCTTCCCGAAACCCTAAGCCCCCTACAGGCCGTCAACCCTAAACCCTGTGATCCCAAACAACTCCCCCGAAAGCCTCAACCCTACGACGGCCTAGACCCAACGCACACCAAAGCCTAAGTTTTGCAAGGCTAGGCTCACGAAGGTCCTAGGGCCAAGTGCTAGTCGGCTAATCTCATTCCCAGCTGCCCCTTCGAAGCTGTCCGCTTCAGGCGCAGCACAGTTCCTGAAAACGCCTCCTCGCAAAGCAAGAGTAGCAGTGAGGGCTTCAGGGCTCTTCGGAAGCGGGCTGTCTTTGCTGCCACGCTACCAAGCTATAACCTCAGAAGTCCGAACCCAAAAAGCCGAAAGCCCACGTGCTTTGGGAATGGAGACGGCCGAAAGCGCAGGAGCAAAAAATCATCACACCCCTCCACCCGCCTGCCAAATGCTGCCGCTGAGGGCCCATCTGTCAGAGCCTCGGGGATTTAAAAAGGCTCCTAGCGGTCCTAGCGTGCGCAAACGCACCCACATCCTATGAACTGAACCTGAGCCCAAACAGTAACGCTCGCCGTCCTACACACCAAACTCCAAACCCCAGAAAACCAGCAAAGGTCGTCGTAAATCGCAGCAAGCGGCTTAGGAGCTTCGATGCGACTTCGTCTACGGCCGCAAAGCCGATGTTGTGCCGAGTCCCATCGAACTGAGCGCCCACGTTACCGAGACCGACGATGGCCAAGGTCTGGCTTGACTCAGCCTTTCAAAGAACTACAACTATATTATATTCTGTTATATTATCGCAAAAAATTACTACGTGGGGCTGGTTCGGTAGCTGGGCTGAGGGTCTCGGGGTCAAGGGCTTGTGGGGTTACGGCTTGGAGTGCGGCGAAGCGTAGGGATGCTTTCGGTTCATGGCGGCTTGGAAGCGTTAAGGCTTCTTCGGCACATATAGTCTCATGGCAAGGCAGGTTCGAAAGAAAGCATTATGCACGCATGAGGACAGGCAGGGTAAAGGGAACTTCTCCATTCAAGGGCGTTGTGCGATGTGCATGGTCCAGATTCCAGGACCTGAGGTGTCCAGGACCTGAGGTTTCGGCGTCCAACACGTAAGGGCCACCGGCAAAGCCAAGACAAATCACAGTGAGCTTTTGTAAGACGTACAAGATGAGCGACTATACGTCTTTGCCAAACCTGCAACCATTTCCAAACTCCACACCTTGTCACACCGGAACATGCTCGCATTAGAAACACGACGCAGGGCCGAATCCTTAAAAATCTGGTGCTGTGACTTGCAGCAAAACGACTCCTCAAACTGCCCTCAACCTATGCCGCACTCGACGTGTCTACAAGGTTCCAGTATAAGCAGACACACACTGACACACACACACACACAAACAGAGGTACACAAATATACACACACACAGAGCTCAGTGTGCCTCTCGGGGGATTGTTCGATTCTACTAAGAGCCTCAGATGCATGTAGGAGCTGATGGAGCCATGCCCGCCTCCTCCCCGTCCACCAAGTCTGCCCCGGCTCGCCGCGCGGCCAGCAGCCGCCGCCGGCTGAAAGCTGGCCCCAGGAACGCGCCCGCGAAGCCAGCGGCTGCGCCGACCTCGACACGCTTCTTCATGTGGAGCTTTCAGGGTTTTTAGGGCTTGAAGTCTCTAAGGATTTGGGAAGAGGCTGCTTGAAGGAGTTTACTGGGTGTTTCCAGAGCTTCTTGTGGGACTTTCGTTGCGGTTCACGGTGGTACAGCTCCAGGCTTCCAGTCCGCGAGCTCTACACCCCTAATCGCCCTTTTCGCATCCGGGCTTCCCTAATCGCCCCAACACCCTAAACCCTAAACCCTAAACCCCAAACCCTAAACCCTAAACCCTAAACCCAACTCACTCCGAGGCGCACCGAGGCCCTGCGCTGCGCCGAAGCTCACACTTCGCCTCCTTTGAGGCTCGCTGTCACGGCCAAGGGCCGTGCTTTGCAGAGGCCGGCGCACCAAAGGCCTGAGCTAAAGGCGAATGTAGGAGCATCTGAGGTTTAGGAGTTCAGGGTTTAAGGATCCGGGCTTATGTGCACCCGGCCATTTGCGAGGCTCCAGAAGACTTGAAATAGATGGGGGTTTCAGAAAATAGGGGACCCTAGTATAGTACCCTAAACAGTAGGATCCTTATTATAAGGACCCCAGAATAAGGTACCCTAGTTTTCTGAAATTCCCAAATGGAGAAACCCTCATAATTCCTAGCGGAGCCCCTGGCTGAGGTCCCACGGTCCCACTGGGACTCCGCTCCCAGGTCTGTGCGCTTGGGAGTGAGGCTTCGAGAGTAATGTAGGGGCCTTAATAATTAGAATAAGGTTTAGGGGTGTATATTTTATACTATAATAATGATTATAAGAAGGATCCCCCAAAACACTATTCTAATTACTAAGGCTCCGACATTAGGGTGAGGCTTTCGAGCTTGGGACTCCAAAGCACTGCATCAGGGTTTCGGCACTCACTGTGGCAAAAGGCAAGCAGGGCTTCGACGACAAATCAGAGAAGCTATGCAAAAGCTGGTCTGAGTCAAGGTATCCCGAAATCGCAAGGGTTTAAGGGGTAGCCTGAGGGCAAAACTTGATTATGCCTGTCTGTCCGTCTGCCTGCCTGCCTGTCTGTGTCCGGATGTCTGCGTGTCTGCGCGTATGTGTTGTTGCCCTTCCGAGCTCTTGCTCTTCGGAAAGATGCCAAAATCGTCGTCTCCAACCCTGAGCCTGAAAATGCACGGAAAAACACGGATGGGCACTACGTAGTGAAAACACTATGTTTTTTTTTGGGGGGGGGCTCATCTTTTGCTAAGAGCCACAAGGCTCTTTGAGATTGGGGCTGGCCCACCCCAAGGTCCTCATAAGAAGGGTCCTCCTATCTCGGGCTCTTCGCCGAAGGGCCCGCATCTCATCTGAAACGCTCAGATGAGCGTTTCCGAAAATAGGGGACCCTAATATAGTACCCGAAATGGTAGGACCCTTATTATAAGGACCCAAAAATAAGGTTCCCCTTATTATCAGAAACTTCCAGATCTCAGAGAGCTCCAGGGGCCGAAGTTGCAGCGCGACGTTGGGCGAAGCAGCGGCCGCCAGGAACGCGGCCATGGCTCTGAAGGCCCAGACGCCGAAGCACGGTCACGGCTTAAGGCTTCGGGGCAGTAAGAGCAATGGTATCCACCAGTAGGATCTGCGAGCACTAGCAGCCGCTGAAGTAGACAGTAACTGCACTGTACATGTGATAGTAGCAGTAGTAACTGCAAACCAGATCTAGACTTGCTAGTGGTATCAGGATTGGCAATAGCTGATGGGGTCTCTTTCAGCACTAAATGAAAAGCCGCCATCTCGGACCTCCAGCCATTCCAGCGGAAAGAGGCTTGCCAGCATTCTGAACCTGCAGCGCTACATTCCATGTAAACACATATGAAAACGAGCTCGGCAGTATGGTCATAGTAATGTAGAAATCTTCAAGAAACAAGCAAACCATCTCTGTTAGCGGCTGCTGCAGCTGAGTCTGTACAACGGGGAGCAGCAACAACCGTGCCTGTTGGCATGGTAGAGACTCTTTGCTGTTGGAGCAGCAGCCAGGAAACCGGATCCAATCTACACTAAGGTGGACTAAGGTTGGCATCTTTCTACGGTCCTATGCAGATTTCTACACCTCAGGAGAAGGCCTAGGCGCCTTCTTAAGACTCTACCTACCTCCAGCCTGTTGCAGTCGTAGAGGTACCATCGGGTTTTGGAGTTTGGAGTCTTAGAAAGGTTTCGAGGGGGAGGTTGAACACCATTACACTCTCCTCCTCAATGCCCCGGGTGCTGCCTCAACAGATGGGACCTTTCGGATTCATCTTTGAAGGCTTGAAAGCAATGACGGCCCCATGTGGACATCCCTTGCCTGCATCGGACGTGAAGCCCTGGCTAAAGATCTTCTCATTGCAACACCGTGACAAGAAACTAGTTTTCGCAACGGCTAGACAAGGGCTTGGTGCTTTTTATGATGCAGTGATGTAGGGACGATAAAGTGGATGGTCATACCTCTTGCTCCAAAACCCATATATTAAGGGCCCTACACAGCACACAAGCATGGTCTTGGGGTAAAGAGTCCCATAACCCTGGAGGCCCTGAAGTCTGTGGTTTCTGCGTTTGTGCACTCATCCGGCCCTTGCAACTGCAGCTTTGTCATGGGAAAAAGCCTGATGGTCATGACAACAACATTCAAATCGTAGGCCGTGGGTTGCCGAACGCGCATGTACCAATGCATGGAGCCATTGCCTCACTTGGTGGCCCATACCTCTTTTCCTTAAACTAGAAAGGGAGCACAAGGGACATGATTACCTATATACTTATACTATTTATGAGATTCATCGTCTGCGAGTCCCCGAGCCAGAGGCTTCCGTCTCTGGATGTCCACGAGGGGACCTGAACTTGGTCACTGCACAGCTCGCACTGCTCTGGCCTGTGCAGTAAAAGGCAGGTGCGGCTTGCAGGCACACGAGGGTACACCCTCTGAGGAGTTGTGAGGGTATGTGAGAACGAAACATGGGAGTTTCCGAAAATTAGGGGTACCTTATTTTGGGGGTCCTTATAATAAGGATCCTACTATTTAGGGTACTATACTAGGGTCCCCTATTTTCTGAAACTCCCACATTGAGAGCGCTTCCCTGCAAGCTTGAGATGAAGCCCCTGTTGAGGCTCTGCTCTCAGCTAGCGTCTTCCAGGAAGAGCTGCGGGGAGGCGTCCGTCACCTGCAGGCTGCTTTCATCTCTGCGGTCTGGGATCCGACTCATTTGTAGGGTAAAAAAGGATGTAAGGTAACAAATGAACTAAAAAGCAAGATGTAGAACTTAGGCCAGCTAGAAGGAGTCGCGTGAAAACAAGAGGGCAAGCAGTTTACAAAAACACACCCCGGGTTTGCAAACGACACTTGTGATTTGGCACATTCCCGAAGCTCTAGACCCAACGTCCCAGCCGCTGAGCACAACTCGGTGCTGCAGGATCGGGGACCGGAGATCCGCAGAGCCCCCGAGCCCAACACAATGGCTAGTATCCCCTTAAACCCTCAACCCTTTTGCGCACCTTTTTGTTGCATCCGGGACCCTAAACCCTAAACCCTAAACCCTAACTAAACCTAGAAGATCCTAAAAGCTCAAACACAAGGCGCCCTGCTAAGGTAAGCTCCCAAGCTGCCGTGGCACTCTCTGGACTTGCATCCGGGACCCTTTTTTTGCATCCAGGACTCCTGCAAGCATCCGGGACCCTAAACCCTCAACCTAAGGGCCCAAGGCACTCTCTGGACTTGCCCTAGACCCTAAACCCTAGACCTAAGGGCCCAAGGCACTCTCTGGACTTGCTCATCTTTGATGAGGTCTTGCACCGGTTTCTGATGCACCGTGGAGGCCATGATGAGTGAGGATCGCTCCTTGGAAGTCTTATCTGCAGCTTCTTCGCCAGGGGCTGCTATAGGATTACGCGAAGGGTATTCTGAGGTTGCTGTAGTGTTAGGAAAAAAGTGAAAGTAAGGCGATTCTCGCATTATTCTTGGGATGTCGGAAAATTGAAAGAGTGGGGTTTACGTTTTTTTGGTCATTGGGCTTAGGTTTTCGGCTCTCGCAGAGGGATTCGGGCTTCAGGCTAACAGCACTAAGACTGGCGAGAAAGTTTGTAATCGTGGCAAAAACCGCATGGGCAGGAGCAGTGCGAGGGTAGAAATAAGAAGTGGAAGGTATGAGATGATCCTCAGAGCCTAACCAAACCGGAAATGCTAGAACTGCTTCTGGTTTTGTGCCATGTGTCAACTTTCGCAATGGGGTTGACGTTGTTCTGGATGACGGTCTCCGTGACGGTCTTGTCGAAGCAATGCGTCGCTGCGATTACCACCTGAATGCTTGGCTCTTTGGGTCGTTCTTGGCAGGTGGCTTTGGAGCGTGGATGTTTGGACGAGCTCAACCCACAGATCCATCCCATCCCAGAGGAAGCAAGTAGAGCATATCCCAAAACCCTAAACTCCCAAACCCAACACCTACACCTTACACCCGCGCCTGCCCTCTGAATCCTCCACCCCAAGTCACTGCCCTCTCTTTCGGGCCCCAGAGGCGTGCAGGCTCGCGTGGGTCAGGGGCAAAGCTCCAGACTTCGTCAGGGCATCCAGGAGGTCGAAGGCGGCCTTCAGAGTGCCAGCAGCAGAGTGGGGTGGGGAGGTTTTTGTCGGGAGTTCAAAGTGCATGTACAGATTTAAAAGACGTGATGGAGGGAGTATGAGAGCCCTGCAAATCATTGCGTGCGATAGCCATCCATGTGATCAATAATGAAAGGTCTACTTCTCTGCAGAAAGCGCGGATGTTATGCTTGCCAAAAGGATGAAGTCCTTAGCGCCTGGAGCAGCCGAACATGTTCTTTTTTTTACGGTTTAGGGTTTAGGGTTTAGGGTTTAGGGTTCAGGGTTTAGGGTTCAGGGTTTAGGGTTTAGGGTTTAGGGGACGACTCGCAGAAGCTTTGCTCAGCACACTCTTTTCATACAATTCTCAGCTTGGCACTGGACTTGCCCTGAACCTTTGAGTCCAGTCGCACCGCTCAGCAAGCTCCGTATTTAGGTACCGATGATTCTATACCTAGATTCCCTAGATGAAAACGTACAGAGACACGGCAGAGAAAGAGCAGGCTAGCAGGGTAGGAAGGATCATGTGAACAGCCAGCGAGAATGGCAGGACTTCAGAAGATCAGTGAAAGGCCGTGTTATTATGTTATTAGGTTACAGCTATTAACATAGCGTCAGAGACCCCGGAACAGCATAACACGCACATGACATTGACAGCACTACTAAGGACGAACACACTGCTCATGGAAGTGATTGCCTACGCATGAATCTTTGATGCGCCAGACCAGTTTAGTCCCCTGGCGGCCTCTCTTTCCGTCTTCTGCTCTGCTTTGGACAGATGAGACGTAGAAGGGCTGGCCAACAACGCCTTCTGAGACTGCTTTGTCCACCTGCAAGTCCCAACCAACTTCAGAGAAACATCCTAGATGTGCATCCACAATGACCTTGCACACTGGCTGCAGTGCGCCCAAGCTTGACGATCCCAGAGTCTTGAAGGACAGCTCAACAAAAGATCTTGGAGAACCATCCACCTGAACCCCGCAATGCCTCTCACCGGGATTGATGATGGTCGGCCGGAGGGAATTGTCGGTGTCTAGCTTCTCAAAGCGCTGGTCCATTTCAACTGGCACCTCTGACAACGGGCTTGTCTTTCAGGGGTTTAGGGTTTTCTTAATTGCCCGCCCAAAGAACATGCGACTTGACGAAGGTTGCGGAATTTCACGGTGCAAGGTCACTTTGAAGCCGGAGGTTACAGGGCATGTATGGCCTCCACGGACCCCTACTGTCGCATCACGAATCGCGGCACCTGCGTGTAGTCCCGGGTGCCGGAGCTGGCCCCTACCGAACCGGCTTCCTCGGGAAACTTCTGAGTGGGCTGCGGCACCGACTGCTGCTGCTGCGGCTCCTGCTGCTGCCGCGGTGGCGGCGGTGCGGGGGGAGGAGCTCCACAAAGGACCGGCGCGGCGCCCGCTGCAGCGCACGGTGGCGCTGGCACCGGCATCATCGCGGATTGCGCGTGCAGCACGGGAGCCGGGGCAGCTGAAAGCTGGATTGCCTCGCCGAACACCGACACCCAAAGCACTACACCAAAACCCGAAACCCAAACCCTTTAAGCGTCACACTTCCTTTTGCATCTGCCCCAAAATAACCCAAAACGTATTCTAAACCCTAAACCCTAAACCCTAAACCCTAATTACTACGGCCCCACAACAATGTTAACTTGTTAGCCGGCTGCATGCTTCATTGCAGCTTGCGGCCGGGCTCTGTGTTTGAGAGCAGCACCCTTGCCTGGCGCGTAGGTGTAGGATTCAGGTTTGAAGAAAGGTTTAGGACCCTAGGATTAGAGGATTTAAGTTTTAGGATTACAAGTTCGGGTGCGAGATTTCAGGGTACACATTTGCGGGCTTCCCGGCGTCGGGCTTCTACGCGGTCTTGTCAGGGGTTCGGAATTTCCCGGGTTGGGACCAAGGCGCGGCTTCTGGAGGTTCATGGGATGCAGGGGCGCTTGGTGTTTAAGGGTATAGGGTTTAGGGGTTTACGGGTTTAGGGGTTAGGGTTTTAGTCCCGCTTGAATCGCCTGGATATGTCACCAACAGCTCGTGCAGCAGCATTGCGTTTCGCACAGCGGTTGTCGCGTTAAGTTTGGGTGTTTCTGGCTTAGGTCTTCACCTCTAGGCAGCCAAAGATAATGGTGCAATGGTGCCTAACCGCTCTTCACCATCCCTTTCTCTGTAGCGCCTTTCGGCTGGTTCGCAAAGGGATCGTCGTAGAGAACTGCTTGCTCTCGATCCTGGATCTCCTCTTGCTTAGCCTGAGCCTCGGTATTGATGTTGGGTCCGCGGCTTACTAGGCTGTAGGGTTTGGGGTCTATGTTTAGGATTTGTGTTCCAGGATTAAGGCTTAGGATGCTTGTTTAGGGCTCGGGGCTCAAGACTTAGTGAAGATCCCGCTCGGGCTCTGATCTCAAGATATCTAAAGCCACAGCCGCCAATGACAGATAGTTCGACAACGGAAGCACGAAGCCCCTGCCTAGAAAAGCTTTGAGCTCCGCGGAAATCCTATGTTCGCAAGCCCCTTTGGCTTCATTAACGAAAGCCCCAAAGACAACCCGAACCTAGCCCTCTCTGACCTGCCTACACACACACACACCCACCAAGTAGGGTAAGCAATATCCGAAGAACAAACCCATAAACTCTCCGCGACACTAGACAAGAAAATGCTCAACCCGGAATGCGATGATCTCCCGAGCGGGCTTGTTGAATGTTAAGTTTGGATTGAGGGGCTGGCCCATGTGTCTTGGATTCTGGATCTAGGATTTCGGGCATGATTGATGCAGCTATATAGTCACTTTTTCGTCAAGGTGTACACTTTTGGTTTCGGTGTTGGAAATCCTGGCCGTCCATCCCCAGCCACCCTGCAAGACGATAATGTGCCAAACTGCCAGCATCTCGTGCATCGCCTGCACATGTCCTGCACGGCATGCTGAGAAGCCACAGGCGAAATGATAACACTCCTGCAAAGGTTACTTATGACATGACCCCAAACCCCAAACCCTAAACCCTGAACCCTAAACCCTAAACCCCTAAACCCTAAACCCTAAACCCTAAACCTTAAACCCTAAACCCTAAACCCTACACGTTCTCTTTCGGGGCAGAGCCTTCGACTTCGACCCGAAAGCCCGAGACCTCTCTAAGCCGGATCTGCCCCTTTGGCTGTCTCTCGGGGGGGAAAAAACAGAACCCTCGGGAAAGTGTTTAGGGTTTAGGGTTTAGGGTTTAGGGAAAGTGAACAGGAAAGGTGTATATACACACTATAACTCTTTATACTAAGGAGCCCCGAAACAGTATAGGCAATTATTAAGGCCCCTATATTAGGACATTTTCAGGTGGGTAGCTACCCTTATAGGAGCCTTAGAGAAGCCCTATATACCCTAAACCCCCACCTGTAGTTTCCTTTAATTAACCAAAGGGCTGAACCTGCCAAACCTGAAACTCTAAGGCGCCCACAGACCCTACCCTTAACCCTGAAAGCGTAAAGCTCCAAACCCCGAAGCCTTTTGAGTCCTAAGCCTCTAAAGCTAAGAACCTCAAGCCCAGAGCCCCCCAAGTCCAACGGGAGGACTTTGCGCCATAGCCCCAAATCCTCTTGTTGGAGCTTCTCCCGAGACCTAAAAAGCCTAAACCCCCCCAAAACCAATCTCTCCACAAACCGCGAACGGCGACCCCAAAAAACCTGCAAAGCAAGACTTGAACACACCCACGAAAACCCGCGGAAAAAACAAAAACCTAAACCCTAAACTCACTTCTCCCCTCAAAAACAAATAAACAGTCTAAACCCAGGGCCTTTCACGCGCTCCAAGCGCTCGGCCGCTGTGGGATTCAAGAGCTCCGCCTCGCCGGAGGTGGCGTCAAAGGAGAGCCTCGGAAAGACAGCCGGAAGAGGAGTCTTAAGGGTTTAGGGTTTAGGG